CATTTTATTGGCCACACCACAAATTAAGGATTGGTTAATTCTTTGTATCGGAAAACCTTATATACAAGTACTAGAGGCCCGGTATACAAAATTCATGTACTCGGTGTCAGGTGTCCCTCAGCCTGGCCTGTGCCCTCTTGCAGTCCGGGAGCCCTTGGGGGATGTCTGATTGACAGCTTAGTGCTGCTGTGGAGGTGGGAGAAACTCCTGCCACCGCTGCTGCGCTCCCCAGCCATCAGCCTCCTCCTAGCTGAGTGGCGCTCCCCTGTGGGAGCGCACTGACCACCATGGGGCAGCTCCTGCGTTGAGTGTCTCCCCCCTGTGGTCAGTGCACGTCATAGCGACCTGTCATTCTGCAGTTTGGTTGATTTGCATATTAGCCTTTTATTATATAGTAAGGATAGGCACCTGATTTTTTAAAGTCACTTTGGAGCAAAAAGAGTAGGTAAGTACTATTATTTTTATAAATCAATCATAATTATACATATTTTTTTGGCCAGATTGACAATAAATATATTTTGTTGTGCCACAGAATTTTAGTAATTAGTTTATGTGTGCCATGAAATGCAAAAGTTTGAAAATCGCTGCTCTACAGGATGGCTGACCTCTCTGAGCTCCTGAAGGAAGGGACCAAAGAAGCACATGACCGGGCAGAAAACACCCAGTTTGTCAAGGACTTCTTAAAAGGCAACATCAAGAAAGAGCTGTTTAAGGTTTGTAGCTCGGTCATGGATGGGTTCAGGTTAGGGGGCCATAGTCCCATGAGAAAGGTCCCCCTGGAGTTGCTCCAAGGGAGAAGCAAGGCCTTTGTTACACTCTACTCTTTTCTGATGCCAGGCTATAGTTTCCCTGGCTTAAGTGGAATAACATAGTGATGTAAAGAAAGCAGAAGTATCCATGTCCAAAGAATTCACCATGTCATTTCTTACAGAAACATGAGTTTTCTGAGTGTGTGAAATAATTCGTCGTATAAAAATGGGCTTTTGGGGACAAGAAAGGGGGTTGCTGTTCAAGCCTTTGCCTTCAGCTGATCAGACACGGTGGGCGGTGGGCTCTGGAGCTGCTACCCAAGGCCCACAGTCCTTTCCATTGGTCCCTCAACAGCTGGCCACTACTGCACTTTACTTCACATACTCAGCCCTCGAGGAGGAAATGGACCGCAACCAGCACCATCCAGCCTTTGCCCCCTTGTACTTCCCCATGGAGCTGCACCGGAAGGAGGCACTGATTAAGGACATGGAGTATTTCTTTGGTGAGGACTGGGAGAAGCAGGTGCAGTGCTCTGAGGCCACCCAAAAGTATGTGGAGCGGATCCACTATGTGGGGCAGAATGAGCCGGAGCTGCTGGTGGCCCATGCCTATACCCGCTACATGGGGGACCTCTCGGGGGGCCAGGTGCTTAAGAAGGTGGCCCAGAGGGCTCTGAAACTCCCCAGCACAGGGGAGGGGACCCAGTTTTACCTGTTTGAGAATGTGGACAACGCACAACAGTTCAAACAGTTCTACCGGGCCAGGATGAATGCCCTGGACCTGAACCTGAAAACCAAAGAGAAGATTGTGGAGGAGGCCAACAGGGCCTTTGAGTACAACATGCAGGTACTGCTTGGGGCCGGGTGGAAAGGGGCCTCTGATGGTGTGAGCAGATCAGAACTGCCCAAACGGACACTGGTACATTAGGACAAATGCTCTGTAGCCAGCCCAAGAGAAATTCGAGGGACTAAATAGGCCACAGAGGGTATGAGTCCAGTGATAGCTCTGCTTTACTTGATAGACTGCCTCTGTGTTTTGTTTTTGGGAAGAGTGAGGCCTCACCATGATGTGAGCTTGGGGAGAATGGAGTTGTCTCCCTCCCTCTCACCACAGGATTCTGGTTTTGAGGAATGGAGTTCTTCCTTTTTAGCATGGATTGCTATGAAAAGTCTTGCTTGGTGAGTTCAGGGAGAGAACAAAGGAGAGCAAGGAGCATAACTCAGGTACCCTTTAGATGGGCTGAGGCTGAGGAGGCGGATTCTGTCCCCAGAATCCAGGCACCAGTCAAGTGGCCCTGGAGGGAAGTGAAGCATCAGCCTAACCACAGGCCTGTCAGCCCTCTAACCTGACATCAGGGGCCTCCAGGGTCTACTCAGGATGGGTCAGCCCTGCTAGGGCCTTATTCTTCCATATTCCTTTTCCTATTGCTTCTTGCTAAAAATGCCCAGCAGCTGGAAGTGGGGAAGTACCATGGCTCAAAGAGTGTTTTTTTACTCTCATGTCTGTACCTTGGATAGTTTCAGTCGTGGGCTGTGTGTGGTTAGTGCCCAGGGAAGATCCACTATGGTGAGCAGCCGTAGGCTGCTGGACAGCACAGGTACGACCATACTTCCCAGAGCTCGTGCCAGGGAGAAGTGCCAGGTCAGTGTCCCCAAGTGCAGCTGCTGTTTTGCTGGTTTGCACCCCTGAGCAAACCTTACCTGCTCCAGCTCCCTCTGCGCAGAAGAAAGAGGTTTTTCTCTGAAAGCAGGGTTAAGCAGTCCAGTGATGGTGTTGCTCCTCTGCTCCTTCAGGTATTCAATGAACTGGACCAGGCTGGCTCCTTGCTGGCCAAAGAGATCGTGGAAGATGGGCTCCCCGTGCACAATGGGAAAGGAGATGTGCGTAAATGCCCCTATTACACTGCTAACCAAGACAAAGGTAGGTCTTGTATATCCCGAGCTCTCCTCCTAGGGCAGGTCTGTCAGCATTTCCACTGATGCCATGTCCCTGTTGGTGCTGCCACACAGGTGCCCTGGAGGGTAGAAGTTGTCCCGTTGGAACAGCCATAGCTGTGCTGAGCAAGCCCAGCCTCCAGTTCATTCTGGCCGCCAGTGTGGCTCTGGCTGCTGGCCTCTTGGCCTGGTACTACATGTGAAAGCCCCATCACCACTCTGGCGCCCTCCTCCTGAGTGACTGCTGGCCCGCTCCCACCTCTACCTGTGACAAAACCACCACCCCAGGTGACTTTTTAAAAATGCTGGGTTTGAGAAAAGCAACCAATAAAAGCCAGACACTAAAGCCTCTGCCTGTTAGTGTCCTCTGCTGACAGATGCTGAGCTGAGTAGAGGCTCACCCTTCCTGCAGCCGCCCAGGCTGTAGCACTGGGAACAGCCAGTGCAGCTCAGTGACCGGCCTGGGCCTCTGGAACCAGCTCTGCTCCTGGGCACCCACACCTCACCCCGAGGTTTTCCTCCTTTTGTTCTTCCTGTGTCATCATTTAGGTGGGTATCTTTCCCCTGCTGGGAGCGGAGCAGCCAGCCAGGCCAAGGCGAGGTGCTGTAGCCCTGTGGGAGGGAAGGGACTCCCCGGATGCTCCTGCTCTACTGGGGGGCTCACCTGAGCATGTGGTGAGCAGATAGAAGTCAGGCTTGCCTGGGCAGCCAGTCCTTATCTGTCTCTAGCAGAAACCCCCAAGTGGGGTGCGTCCAGCCATGGCCTATCTCCTCCTGACCTGTGTCATGCTACAGCACTCAATAAAGTGGACTCTTGACAGCTGCCTCCTTCCTGGCACAGATGTCATCCTCGCTGGTGTCTGACAGCCTCCTCCTGCTGTGCTCCAAGACTGCTAGTTACCTTATAAATAAGCATAAAAAACCATGTACTTGTATTGAATAATTGATTGTCTAAAATAGAAATGTGAACTTAAATATTTTTATTAATAGGCATCTATTGTTTTATATAATTGAGGATCTGAACATTTTATTCACAAAAGGGTTAAATGATGGGGAAACTTTTTTTAAACTACTGACCAAGACTACCTACCCCTACAATTCAGATGAGGGTAGGGGCAGAGCTGGCCCAGAACTTGGGGGCCCAAACTGGCCCCCCCCCCCCAAAGCCTTAGCCCAGAGTCTCGGTCTTGCTTAAGGGAGTGAAGCTACCTGCTTCCAGAGTAGGATGACCCTGAGCTTCAGTTGGAGGGCTCCAGCCTATAGATCCCATGGTGGATGCTGTGATGTGGAGATGGGTAAAACCAGTATCAGATAGTAAGATAGTAAACACATACCCTGGCCCAGTCATAGCTGGAATGCCAGGGCTCCTCCACACGAACTCTGGCTTGTTTTAAATTTAATTAGGTACTTAAATGTTAGTGTCATCCCTGGCAGTCGGTATAGCATAAGCACTGAGAGACCCTGAAGACTTGACCTCCTGCCCTTAAGACTACCTGTAGCCCCACCCTCTTCCCCTTGCAAAAGAAGGAAGCCAGGCAAGAGAGCAGAGGCCCAGGTCAGGGGAGTGAACGGACCAATTTAATGAGAAACTACAAACAGACTGGTCACAATTCACAGTGAGAGAAGGCCATGCAGTGGCAGTGTGAGACCAGGAGAGGGGTGGCAGCAGGGTACAGTGGTCCACAGGTGCAAGTTCACCGACAAACCATTCAGAAAAGAAAGACAGCATGGCCTCAGGCCCAGGGTAGGGCTAGTCCACCAGGGTACTTCCGCCACTTGTGGTTGCTCCTTCCTGGTCCGCAATCCAGTGATACAGTTGTTCCTGCTATAGTGCCTGGAGCAAGCACAGTGATAGTGAGTCAACCTGGGTGAAGCGCCCAGCGTTCATTAGAGAGAGGATCTACAGAGAGCACTGTAAACCTTGAGTGTGCCTGCAGGGAGGGGCCTATCTGCCATCTCTGGTCCCAGCTGGGATACATCAGCCCCCAGGCAAAGATCATGCCCACACACAGCAAGGACATGTTTTGGACAGAGGGGCTGGGCTCCTGGGGATTCCTTCGGGCCCCGGTAAGGACATGTTCACAGAGGCATGTGGAAGGGGAGCTAGGCAGGGGCCAGAGGCAAGTCTCTTGGTGAGCCAGGGCCAAATCACTTATCTCATGAATAGCAGTTATGCTGACTCTCTTAATTCCATGAGGCTGCTGGGCACCTGGACAAGGTGTTAAGTTCCTGAGAGTTCTGGTGGGAGTCATTCCTTCTGATAGTCATGCTACCTCTAGCACCCCAGAAACCCTGGCCTAGGACTCCGCCCTGTTCGGGTTCACGTCCCCACTCTTGGCCCAGCAGATTAGAAACTGTGGCTACAGGCACAGCCCCACTGTAGGCCCAGGTCTGGAAAACTAGCCATTGCTCTGGGTGCTTCTGGCCCCACGAAATAAGGACCAAACTTATACCTCATATAAGAACAGAGGAGTGAGACCCCAGTAGAGACCTTTCCCAGTGTATCTTCCTAATCAAACACCAAGCAAACCAGCAACATACATGCTCAGTGCCAGCTCCCTGCCACTTGCTGACCCTTGGCCTTAAATCCAACAATTTTGCCGGAGGTCAGATGCTCAGGGAAGGGCAAGGCAAAGAAGACAAGAGTTCCAGGGGACTGGTGGAACACCTGCCACCCCCAAGCGGGAGTGGGGACAGAGCCACTGAGTGTAGGGAGCAAAGCACAGGAGTCCAGACTGACAGCGGGAGTCCAGTCCAGGCTCCGTTAGCACAGGCGCTTGTACGTGTAGATGTAGGCTTTGCAACTGGGGCACGTGTGCGTCACATCCTTGAAGTCGTTGATGAGGCAGGGGATCAAGCAGCAGCCCAGATCACACCTGAATCAGAGAAGGGGAGGCCTGAAGAGAATGTGCCGAGGGCACTGGGCATACTCCAGCTGGGTAATGGGCAAGTGCAGCCCCCACCCTTCAAGCACCCATGCCACCTACCCCATGAAGCAGCAAAAGAAGCCCAGCACGAAGTTCATCAGGCCAATCTCGTAGGAGATCTTGGTGGTGATGGCCTGCTGGCAGTGGGGACACACTGTCTGCACAGGTGCACCCTCAAAGATCTCTCCCTGCAGCACTGTCACCGTAGTGGCAGCCCCTGAAGGGACCAGGACCGTGGCTGTGTGTCCGCCAGGACCAGGGTAGGGCCCTGGTGGGTAGGGCCCTGGCGGGTAGGGCCCTGGCGGGTAATAGCCCATGGGTGGATGGGGACCTGGAGGAGGGTAGAAACCTGGAATGGCACAGAAGACAGAGCAGACGAGTCACTGGCTTGTCACCCCACTGTGCTCACGTGAGAGTTAAGTACAAAGTCCCCAGCACCCAGGGCACAGTTGAGGGACCAGTCGTAGACCTTCCTTGTCTCTGCCCCATGGGGACCAAAACCGAGAAGATACCTGACCCAGCCAGACAAGACAGCTGAGAACAAGGCCCACTCTACCCCTCGGTCTCAGCTCAATGCACTGGCTCCCTGCCTCTGACACACGGGATTGGGCATTGTGCTCAAGGACCTCAACCATAGGAAGGAAAGCCTCGCTGCTCCTCAGCCCCTCTTATGCAAACACGGCTCTCTTCCCCACCAGTGTTAGGTCCTGCACTGCAGTGCCATCTGGTCCACTTGACTTGGGGACACCTGTGCAGGAACTGTGGGTCCTTCTCTGGCTGGAGTAGTCCCTCTGAAGAGTGCTGGGTGAGCAGGAGACCAGGCCTCCACTATGGACTCAAGTGTCTGGCAGGGAGTGGCCCCTGTAGCACCCATGAGTCCATAGCACCTGCCACTGCCTGAGGAGCCTTCCCACGAGTCAACCCTCCTGGCAGCCCCGGGCTCCTCTGGCACGTCCATAGTACCTTCACAGCGGGGCCTGGCTCTGTGACACCTTCCCATTTCTACCCTCCATGCCCACAGTCAGTCCCCCTGCTCCAACCAGCAGTAAACACCCTCACACACCACCAGCCTGCTGGGCTGGGCAGACACCTGCGCTCCGGTGGGATCTCTTCCCAACTTACCCGGAGGCATGTAGGCTCCATCTGCATTCACATGTGGAGGGATGAAGCCAGGCTGGGGCACTGGGTGACCAGGTGGCTCATAAGGTGGGGGGCCAACGTCTGCAGGAGGCAGTGACATGCCTGCTGAGGGCTGCATCACAGCAGGGGAGGTTTGGCCTGGACAGGAGGGAAAAGAAATGCAGAGGGCCCCAGCCCCACTGTCAGTGGGAGGGGTGGCCCCAGGCACAACTTCAGCAGCTAGAATGGGCAAGAGAAAGAGCACTGAACCCTACCTGGGGTTGGCAGGGCTCCACTTTTCTCCTCCAGGAGGGGGGCTGTGGGGCCTCCAGGATAAGGAGGGGGTGGGTCATTAGACATCTTCGAGGCTTCTCCTGAACCTGGAGGGAAAACCCAGACGTGAACTATGCTCCCAGCTCCCCTATAGCCAGTCAGGTACTGACGCGTCAAGGGGCTGCTGCACAAGGTGTGTGACGGTCCTCAGAGAGCCACCCTCGTTGCTGAGCCCAAGCACACGGGGCCTCCTGTGGCTCCTCCTGCTTTGGAGGCTCTGGCCACCTTATAATCCCATATAAATCTCCACACTGGGCAGAGCAGGGCTGATGGGCTGGGACTGATTTTCTTGAGGAGAGTGGTCACCAGGATCCCTAGATCCTGAAGATGCCCCACATTGCCGGGGGTGACCAGCCCAGAGCCTCCATCCTCCACATTTCAAGAAGCTACTCACCTCAGTGATCACTTGCACTTCCTGTGTGAAAGCCCGAGGATGAGGGAAGCCGGGCGAGGACAGAAGCTGGTGAGGTGAGCCCCCAGCCCACATGGGGAACCTAATCGAGGGCTCCCAGTGCAGCGTGGGCACTGGTCCTCTTCTCCCCTAACATTCAAGGAGTGCCGTGCCCACCTCCATGCCAGGGCACTGTGTCCTTGTGGGAGGGGATCTGGGAAACTGTTTACCTCAAATCCTAGGTATTCAGAGTTGGTAGACAGGTGAGGCTCCTTCCAGTGGGTGGACACACAGGACTGTGGGGAGCTGTTTCATAGGGAGAACAAGCAGCTCCCTTAGCACCAGGGCTGGGCCGGACCTGGACAACTGGTCTCCTCGAAGCCACACTCCCTCCCTCATTCATCTGGTCTCCCCCACCCCCCTGCTGCCCAGCATAGTACCTTCTCTCGGACCTACCCACCCCTCAGATTCCCCTTCCCCTTCTCAGAGCTGTTCTCTCCCAGGGGCCATGGCTGGTCCTCTGCATCTCTCCCCACCAGGCCCAGACCAGCGCCCCAGCATCGGCTCTCAGAGCCAGCTGTGTCCTTCTTCGTTGGGTGGAATAGGGTGGGAAGGAAGATGGTGTCAGTTAAGTGAAACACTTTTCCTCATTTCCTTCACAAGGTTCATTGAGCACCTGTTTAGATTCTGAACAAAGATCCAATGAAGGCAACTCCCCTCGTGTATGTGGCTGCCTCCTGGAGCCCACCAGGTTCAGTTCAGAACCATATAGTGATGGAGGCTCCAAACAATCCTGCCAGGGGAGAGGGGTCCGGGAGTCACGAGGCTTAAATAGTAAACCTAATGAATCAGTGTCAGGGCCAGAGGGAATAAATCCAAGCAACAACAAAACAAAGATAAATTTCATTAAAATTAAAAACTGCTTCAAAGGACACCACAAAAAAATGAAGTATTGACACACACTACAACATGGATGAACCTTGAAAACATTCTCAGTGGCCTGGCCAGTGTGGTTGAATATCCACCTATGAACCTGGTCACAGTTCAATTCCCAGTCAGGGCACATACATGCCCAGGCTGTGGGTTCGGTCCCCAGAAGGGGGCGTGCAGGAGGCTGCTGATCAATGATTCTCTCTCGTCATTGATATTTCTATCTCCTCCCTTCCTCTCAGAAATCAACAAAAAATATATTTTTAATAGAAGGACCGCGTATTTTATGATTCCTTATATAAAACATACAGAACAGGCAAATCCAGAGGCTGGGAGGGTGGGCGGGCAGAGAGAATGGCGAGTGTGGGGTTTCCTTTTGGGGTGATGAAAGAAAATGTTCTAAAACGGACTATGATGATTGTACAATTATGTGAATATACAAAAACCACTGAATTATGTACATACTTTAAATGGAGAAACTGTATAGTATGTGATTATATGTCAGTAAAACATTTAAAAACTGAAAGAAAACAAAATTGTCCAATTTTATCATACTAATGCAGCCAGTCTCTCTGCATGTTTCTGTTAGTCTATAAGCACAGGCACCTATATTTTTATATAGTGGCTATCATGACAGTTTTAAAACCTTTTAATGTCATATTTTTCCTCCATCTTACAAGACCCCATGACTATCAATTTTAATATTCCCTAAAATAGGCCCCTCACTGTTTACTTGACCAACCCCTGAGACATTTAGAATGCAACTTATTACTTTCATTAAAAGAAAACAACAGGGAATACCTTTGGCCAATGTTCTTCTCATTTCTTGGATTATTTCCTTGAGCTACACTTGTCAGAAGTGAGATTAGGTCAAAGGGTATCAACATGTTATGCCTTTAGTGAAGGATGATGCTAACTGACAGTGCAAACTTTGGATACTGCTCTCAATTTGTAATGTTAAGATTACATTTGGTGACATCAAAATTACAACAAAAATACAGAACCACCATCAGCCTGAAATCTGACTGAATAGAAGTCCTACAACTAGAGAATTAAAGAAGAAAACAGCCCTAGCCGGTTGTTTGGCTCGGTGGATAGAGCACCGGCCCACGGACTGAAGGGTCCTGGGTTCGATTCTGGTCAAGGGCACGTACTTCGGTTGCAGGCTGACCCCTGGCTCTGGTCAGGGTGTGTGTGTGTGGCAACCAATCGATGCACATCGATGTTTCTTTTTCTCTCTGTCTCTCCCCCTCCCTTCTACTCTAAAAATCAATGGAAAAATATCCTTAGGTGAGGATTAACCAAAAAAAAGAGGGGGAGGGGGAGGGGAGAGGAAGAGGAGGGAGAGGAGAAAGCACATTGAGACTGGTAGGAGGGGTGGAGGCACAGAACAGGCTGGTCTGACACCCACGTGGCTTTTTTTTTCTTTTCTTTTTTTAATCCTCACCTGAAGATATTTTTAGCAAGGGGTCCCAGCCCTACACCAAACCCTTTAGGCCAGGGCTCCAGATTAGGAAAGAGAAGCCCGTAACTTTGGCTATAAAAACCAGCGGATTGTGTCTGAATGACATGAAGGCTACTGGAGACCCAAAAAGTTCCTCTTAAATGACCAGTGCATGGACTTACTCAAACTCCTCACTCTAAGCTCCAGCGCTGGGACAGCGGCTTGGGGTTGGGGGTTGGGGGGGTGGAGAGAGACACAGGTACATACAGGGAGGAACTGGATTGTCTGGCATTGGGCAAGAACTGGGGGGTGGCTTTCTTCCAGGCAGAGGTGCTAGTGAAAGGGCGAGGCCTATGCCCTCCATCTTGCCCCAGGGTAAGGGCTACGCACTCCATCTTACCCTGGATCCTCCATTTTTGGGCAGCCATGTGCTCAGCAAGGAGCTTCTTCCCGGAAGCCCAAGCCTCTGCTAGCCACACCCAGGATTTCTTTAAACTAACCAATGACAATCAAGGAAAGTGCGCGTCATAGACATGACCACATCCTGTGTAACAAGACACCAACTTGCGCCTGGCCAATCGGCAGGGCCCACAGTCCTCTCTCCTCCCCTTACTCCACCCCCCTATAAAACCCCTCTTCGCACAGGGCTAGCTCTTTCTCTCTGCTGCTTGCCGCTGCGTTGGTGAGTGTGGTCGGGGAGCTGAGCTAGCTCAAATAAAGACTCTTTGCTTTTGCATCGGACTCGGCTGGCTCCCTGGTGGTCTTTTGGGGATCTTGAAATCTGGGCATAACACTAGCAGGGGTCATTGTTCCTATGCTGAGACCTCCTCTGTTGCAGGGCTAACTGGCAGGCACCACATCTGAGTCTCCATCAGCCTGGCCTACACTGACTCTGTCCTGGGGATTCCCTGAGACCCTGCCCCACCCAATTTGTAGCCCCACCCAAGCTGTTTGGAGAGGCTTTTCCAAACGAATGGCCTGACTCAGTCTTCAGACTAAGATCTCTTAACCATTTGTACGCCATAAGCGTCAAAAGACGCAAGCGGCAGACATTTTGAAATTAAATTCAAAATATTGTGACGTGTGGGGATGGTTTCCAGTTAACTGGTTAAACAAGCAGCAGCTGGAGTCAGTGTAGCTCCTGCCTGGGGTTTCTCAATAAGAGCCCAGGCCGGCAGTAACAGCCTATCTGTAGACTGCTCTGTAGCTCCTGCCCGGTGGCCCCAGGCAGGCTGACTTTGCACCTCCCGGGAGGCCCGGAGCCAGTGCACCTGGTGGACAGCTTCACACCATACAAGATTACAACTCTACACATCACAAGCAACACACTGAAAAGGAAGACTCAATGAGCACCAAAGCCCCATTAAAACAAGTCCTGCTCCATAGTGTCAGCTCCTGCACAGCAGCTCTCCCGCTGTAGTCACAGCTGGTCCTTCCTCACAGCCAACTAGCCTGGGGATCAATTCCTCCCAGTGATGCCAATAACAAGCAAGTACAACAAAACTGTGCACACAGCCCACAAAGGGGCACACCTAGAGTGCCCAGCTCAGGTGACTGGGGAGGCTGAGCCACTGGGCCCTATAGGACACCTATTATATAAGGCCACTCTACCAATTCCAGGAGACATAGCAGCTCTACCTAATACATAGAAACAAACATAGGGAAGCAGCCAAAATGTGGAGACACAGAAACATGTCACAAATGAAAAAACAAAAGAAACTCCAGAAAAAGAACTAAAAAAGAACCGGTTTGGCTCAGTGGATAGAGCGTCGGCCTGAGGACTCAAGGGTCCTGGGTTCGATTCCGGTCAAGGGCATGTACCTTGGTTGTGGGCACATCCCCAGTGGGGGTTGTGCAGGAGGCAGCTGATTGATGTTTCTCTCTCATCGATGTTTCTGGCTCTCTATCACTCTCCTTTCCTCTCTGTAAAAAATCAATAAAATACATTAAAAAAAAGAACTAAATAAAATGGAGGCAAACAAACTACTAGATATAGAGTTCAAAACAATAGTTAGAAGGATGCTCAAGGATCTTAATGAGAGTTTCAAGGGACTTCGTGAGATTTTTCAAGGATCTTAGTGAAAACAAAGATATGAAAAAGGACCAGACAGAAATTAAGCATACACTAACTGAAATAAGGAATAATTTATAGGGAAGCAACAGTAGAGTAGAGGATGCTGAAAATCAAATCACTGATTTGGAATATGAGGAAGCAAAAAACCCAATCAGAAGAGCAGAAAGAAGAAAAAGAATCCAAAAAATATGAAGATAGTATAAGGAGCCTCTGGGACAACTTCAAGCATACCAACATTTGTATCATGGGGGTGCCAGAAAGAGAGAGAGAGCAAGATATTAAAAACATATCTGAAGAAATAATAACAGAAAACTTCCCCTACCCAGTGAAAGAAATAGACTTATAAAAGTCCAGGAAGCGCCAGCA